GGGGAGCCCGCGCCGGCGTGGAACCAGGGCGCAGATTCGGCCGAAGGACCAGGGAGGCGCCCTCACCGACCGCAGCCTGCGGGGGTGGGGGGGGGACGCCGGCCGCGCTCCTGACTGCGCACGCGCCCAGGTCAGCGGCGCGGTCTTGGCGTTTTTTCCCATCATGAGATTTGTTCATTTTTAAGTCTATCAAGTGAGGTTCCATAAACACAGACTAACAGCCTGATAGACGATCACCTCACTGCCGCTCTTGAAGAGTCCCTAAGGCAATCTATCCGTCATCGTACCGAAGAAGGACTTGTCATTTTTGGCCTTTAGAGAATAGAGGAATTCAAAAAGGGTTTAAATGTCCCTCAAACTTTAAATATCCTTTTATGTTTTTCTTTCTTTCTTTAATAACAACTGCAAACTCATAATCTTCCATTTTCCTTTTCTCAGTTAAGACCAAGTCTCAAAATTCCCCTAATACATAGGGCAGAGTAAATGTCTTCAGTAACTGTTGGAATGGAAAATTTGGAACTGTACTTTCTACTACTCCTTCACTTTTCCTGTAGAAGTGTCAGTGTTGACGAGTCTCTTGAGGGACATATGAAGATACTTGGCTATGCTCTCAGCATTGTGGTTGCAAATAACATTAAGGTCACAAAAATTCAATGTGTTTTGTTTTGTTGAGACAGAGTTGCTTTGTAGCCTGGACTGGCTTCGAAGTCGCTCATAATCCGCCAGTGTCAGCCTCCCGAATGCTGGGATTACAGACTTGCACCACCATGCCTGGGTCCACTGTGCATGTGTGTGCCTGCTTTCTGTTCATTGCTCATGTTAACAATTAAAATCATCGTAGTATTCTTAAAAATCTTTCCCCCTGAGGTGGGCATTATGGCACACGTCTGTAACACCCCCCCCACCCCACCCCCCGGCACAGTGGGAGGCTGAGGCAAGAGGATGGCAAGTTCGAGCCCAACCTGGGCAACCTAGCAAGACAAAAGGACTGGAGATTTAACTCAGTGCAAAGGCCCTGGGCTCAATCCCCAGTACCAAAAAAAAAAAAAAAAAAAAAAAAAAAAAACACAGATTGTCCCCCTGGAGTCTTTGCAGTGATTTAAGAAATCATATTATATTGTTTTCATTCCTCCAAAGAAAAGTTCATACAAGGAAAGTTTTCATAATGTTGTGGTGCAGAAAAAAATGTTTACATAAATTGGAAACTGTGGATTTCTTCTTGTTTTAATTTTGTTTGTTTTCTGTTTCTCAGGGGAGAATTAGCTGTTCTGGCCACTTGATGGTGCAGGGAATGCCCATTCGCAGTCGACTAACTGCTGCTGGTCAGTCTCACAGGTAAAGACATTAAGAGCCCCCCAACCTACAGTCCTCCTGCCTCAGTCTCCCTTGGTGCTGATATTACAGGCTGAGTCGGGCCTGGGCAACTTAGCAAAACCCTGTCAAATTTTAAAAGGGTGAGGGTTCCCTGGGGATGTAGCTCAGTCATAGAGCACCCTTGGGTTTGATTTCCCAGTAACCCCTCAAAAAGAATCCCCTATTCCTGGAACCTTCCCACATGCCTACCCACCACAATGAGTACAGAAGTTGCTGAGTCTACAGATTGTTGCTGTGTGTGTATGTGTGTGTGTGTGTGTGTGTGTCTGTGGATTGACCCCAGAGTCTTTGCACGGAGGTACACTTTTTTTTAATTTTGAGACAGAATCTCTCTAAATCGCTAAATTGTCCAGGTTGGACTTGCCGTCCTCCAGCCTCAACCTCCCAGAGTGCTGTGATTACAGACGTGCACCACCACTCCTAGTTTATAAATTGTCACGGAGAGGTAGCCCCACCTGCAACACCAACACCATCTAAGAGCTTGTTGGAAATGACTCCCAGGCCCCGCACCAGATCTACTAAATCACAATCTGCACTTTAACAAAATCCCCAGGTGATTCACAAGCGCAATAAACTTTAAGAAAAACAAGTGTTTGGCACAGTTTTAATGGCTCAGAATTTGTAAGCATTAGTAGCTCTGTGTACATAGGGGTTAAATTACTGTCCCTTCTGTAGTAAAAGCTGGGATGCAGCTCGGTGAGCATTAGTAGCTCTGTGTACATAGGGGTTAAATTACTGTCCCTTCTGTAGTAAAAGCTGGGATGCAGCTCGGTGAGAGAGCACTTGCCTAGCATGCTCAGTCCCCAGGGTTCAGTCCCCAGTATCCCAGAAACAAACCAACCAGCCTGCCCTTGTTAGATGTGTATAGATCAAGGATTTTGCTGCACTTGGCACTCTTCCTCTCTGATTTTCCTAACCACTAAGAAGAAAGCACCCGGCCTTCCCCTCAAGTCTGAGCAAGGCATTCCATAGTTGCTGACATGGATGAATTAAATGTGACTTACCAGAGGCACAGAAATTGTGACCCATGTTTCAGTGACAGTATTTCACCACCGTTGCAACTATACCTCCTCCTTTTTTTCTCCTCTCAAGAGCAGCTGTTCCTCTTGGTCAGTCTTACCCAGTTTAAGTTATAGTCATCCTGCCATCATTTATAGCCACACTAAATTTTATTATTCAAAGACATAGAGATTGCAGCTGCTTTGTTATGGATAATAAACTGGACTTCTGTTTGGGCACACATGAGGTTTATATTGAATACTGATTTATTTGTTTATTCTGATGCCTTTTGAACAACTGGTCAAGCCCACAGCACCAGAAGCTGAGCCAGTTCACCCAGCATGACTTCAGAGAGAAGGCAGCTAAAGCCTGTTTACTTGATTACAGAGCTCACAAGGGAATCCTGCACTATATGAGATGCTTACCACACTGAGGGGTTTTTTTTAGCATTAGCTCCACATCATTATTAATTATTTATTGTTGTTGGGGTTTTTTGGGTATCACAAGCCCTTTCCCCCTCAAAAAAATCTGTTGTCCATGTAGTTCTGTAGCAGCCTAATGCCTATTGCTAAAAGTTTGTAAATTCACATCACAGGGCAAGGTCCAGACTGCAAGAAAGAGACAGAGAGCCCCTTCAGGAGCGCTTCTTCCGGCCCCACTTCCTGCAGGCCCCTGGGGACATGGTAGCTCACGAGGGCCGCCTCTGCCGCCTGGACTGCAAGGTAGACTCTTACCACCTGTTCTCGGTTCCAGATCTGTCAGACTTAGCTTTCGATTGCTTGTTTGCATTTATTTTTGTTTGTTGGTGGGTTTATTTATTTGTTGGAGTACATAAGCAGTGTGTAATCTCTGATATTGATGCCACAGGCCATGTCATCTACTTTGTTTAATTCTCATTTGTTCTAACTTGGAGTGTGATCGAATAGGTTAAGCATGACTTGAATTGGGATCAGATTACCCACAGTTGAAATTTACACAGCCATTGTTCAGACCCCTCTTCTCCTGAGGCTGCTGGGGGAAATCCTCACTACTCCGCGTCTCCTCTCACTATATTTGGTGAGACATGGATGAAGAATTCAGCAGCCAAATAAATCTGCCTGTCATCAGCCTGTTGTTTGCCTCAGTGTCCTGTTTTTTGTTAGGTGAGTGGCTTACCGCCCCCAGAGCTGACGTGGCTGCTCAATGGCCAACCTGTGCTACCAGATGCCTCCCACAAGATGCTGGTCAGGGAGACGGGGGTGCACTCGCTGCTCATCGATCCCCTCACCCAGCGCGATGCGGGCACCTACACGTGCGTGGCTACCAACAAAACCGGGCAGAATTCCTTTAGTCTGGAGCTCACTGTGGTCGGTAAGGCTTGCTGCTGGGACTCCGAGGTCTGGGATCCCTTCCAAGTTACTGCACAAATCTTTAGTTGTTTGCCCACAAATCTGCTTTCCCTGGGTTGTAGTGTAAGCGCCACATGTCCTACGTTGCTTTCAAAGACGTGTAGCAATCCAAGAATATAACGTGGTTCCATGCACATTTAACATTGGCTGTTGTAATCATCCACTACCAGTCACTTAGTCATTGACTCTCACTAAATTCTACTTGTCGGCCCTCCAGCTGGTCACTCCCAGAATGTCCTGGGCTTTTATTGCCCCTCGTCACATCAGTTTCCCCTTTGCCCAGCAACCTCCTACCCATTCTCTGAAAGCCTAACCCAGGCATGGTGGGTGCACCAGACACAACTGCTTCCTCCTGTCCACCTCTGTCTCCACGGCACTTAGAAAAGGAGAAGCTTGAGACTTTGGGTTCTGAGGTCAGAGGCTGGTCGTCCTCCGGTGTGTGCCGCGGTGCCTGTACGTGGAGGGTGCTGGGCAGCTGTTGCATCAATGACTAAACAAATAGGCCTTGCCTTAGGAAACTGCGGGCAGAAAAGCACTGTCGCGCTACAGAGCACGGCAGCCCAACCTCGGCCCCTGGGAGGCAGTGATCCAGCCAGAATTAACTCCAGAATGTGGGGATTCTGTGCTGGGTCTTCTCCTGCTGTCTGTGTGGCCCCTACAGGCAGTCTGGGAGGCTTCTCTGTGCTAGCCCGAGTGGCAGTTTCCCCTGTGTATCTTTTCCTTTTCTCACTCTGTTTTTTTTTCTAGCCAACAGAAGAGAAAAACTCATTTTGCAAAGATACCCTGATTGCAGGCTTTGATCTTTTCCCCATTATTTTCCTAAAACATGGACTTTGGAACTCTCATCTATGAGGTTCTGACCAAAGGCAAAGCCTCAGTGGGAAGCATAATTTTATGTTTTTAAAAATAATAGCACAATTCTGTAGATGTCAGCCTTTTTTCAAAATAAAAAGTTTGGGGGAAATTAATATAACTTCCATGAAATAAACTCCTCCAGGAAAGAAAAAAAGGATCAATTTTAAGTGCATGGAGTATCAGCCAGGTATGGTGGTGAATGCCTGTACTCCCAGTACTCAGAGGCTGAGGCAGAAGGATTTTTGCAAGTTCAAGGCCAGCCTAGGTACATAGTGAGTTCAAGGCCAGCCTGAACTATAAAGTTGAGACCCTGGTTAAAAAACAAAACAAAACAAAAAGTACTTGGAGTATATTAATTCTCCAAAGTTACTGTTGAGCAGTAAAAGAAGACCCTTTAATCCCACCGTTCCTAGCGTCTGTAGCCCATGTCTGTCACCCATGGGCTGTCTTGCTGGGGATGTGCAGAGATGCTGGCCCCTTAAGTTTTTAACCATTCTGAAGCTTTCGCAAGGCTGTGCCTCACCAGAAGCCCCAGGTGAGGCAGGCACGCACCCACCCTGCTGGACTCCGAGAGTGCGAGGCGCAAGCCTCTAGGTGCTTGCTGTTCACCAGAAGCTCCTTCTCTTGTTCAGCCAAGGAAGTGAAGAAAGCGCCCGTGATCCTGGAGAAACTGCAGAACAGCGGCGTCCCCGAGGGCCACCCGGTGCGGCTGGAGTGCCGCGTGATCGGCATGCCCCCGCCCGTGTTCTACTGGAAGAAGGACAATGAGACCATCCCCTTCACCCGGGAGAGGGTCAGGTGAGGCAGCGCCACCAGCAGAGCCCAGCCGCCACCCAGAGAACTAAGCCTGTGATCTGGCTGTTTGCCCTTATCAGAGTGCTCTTGAGTTTCGTCTGTGTTATTGTGCAAATCAGTAATTTATTTGCTTTTGTAATTTCTTTCTATTGTTATTTTGAGACAAGGTCTGCTATGTAGTGCACGATGGGCTTGAACTCACTATGTAGCCCAGGCTGGCCTCAATCTCATGGTGATTCTCCTGCCTCAGCCTCCCAAGCCCAGCTGGTTGTTTTTAAAGAAACCTTAAGGAGCCAGTTTCCCCAAGTGGTTGGCTTAATTTTTCCTGACCAACCTTGTTTCTTTGCAATTTTAGTTTTATACCACCGGGGGAGGAGCAAGCAATGGTAGCTGTCCAGACTTTGTGCTGAAAATCATTTCTCCACAGTAAACTGAGTTTGTCCAGAATTTTGGCATCTAAGATATATATGTTTATACTCCACAGTCCTTGGTCCCTGGCTGCATGCGAACAGCCTGGGGAATTTCTTAAAACCCTATTGCTTGGGTCCCAGCCTGACGTCCTGATGTCATCTGGCCTGGGGCTGCAGTGTGCACCATGGCTGAGGACTGAGGCAGAGCAGCAGAGGAAACTGGCAGGCTGATTTCCTCCTTAATGGCGCCAAGCCGCATGCGGCACTGCCCCTGGCCAGCCAGGACATGCCCTGTGCAAGCCGTTGGTGCATCCACCCCTGGGCTCTCGGCTGCTCTGCTTCCCGTCGTTTCCTGATGCGGCTCTTGTTGACACCCTCAGCCGTGTTGGAAAAAGCATTTCCTGCACTGTGGCTATGAAATGGGGGTCTCTCTGTGAGGAGCGAACTTCAGCAGAACAGGGGCAGTGGGAGCAAAGAGCAGGTCTCGCCACAGCTGTCCCACTCCCCTGAGTGTCACTGGGTCCGTCACTGCTCTTCTTGGCTTTGTTTTGGGGCACTGGGGATTGAACCCAGGGCCTTCTCACTGAGCTACATCCCCAGCCCTTTTTTTAATCTTTGACTTTTGAGAAGGAGTTTCACGAAGCGGGTAAGTTGCCCAGGCTGGGCTCAAACTTATGCTCCTCCTGCCTCAGCCTCTCAGAATGCTGGGAGTGCAGGCGGGTACCACCAGCCCTGGCTTGTACCTTCTTTTTACTTTGGAATTTGCCTTTATCTGAGTTCTCCATTTTTGCCTTTTGGTAGGAAAAGCTCTGAGTGTTTCCCTAAGCCCAGAGCTTGACAGAGAAGCTTCTGCTTCCAGATACAATATGACTATGTTCTTTCTTTTCTGCAGCATGCACCAGGACACAACAGGGTACGTCTGTCTGCTCATCCAGCCAGCCAAGAAATCAGATGCCGGATGGTACACGTTGTCAGCCAAGAACGAGGCTGGCATCGTGTCCTGCACCGCTAGGCTGGATATATATGGTAAGTGCAATGTCATTAGTTGAACATCTGTGTGATGGGCAACTTTAAAGTCATTTTAAAGGCACACACCTATTATCCCAGCAACTCAGGTGGCTGAGGCAGGAGGATCGCTGCCAGTTCCAGGCCAGTCTGAGCTACATATTGAGACCTTCTCTCTCAAAAAAAAAACAAAAAAACAAAAAAAAAACCAGTAAGTAAATAAATAAATAAAATTTTAAAAACATTTTAAGGATAAGTGTAGTATGTTTCCATAAATGTATTATATTTTAGTACTTAAGAGATTTTCTGAGTCAGCTCGTCCCAGTTACCTCAGAGCTTTTGCACATTTTCATGTTTTCCTGTGAGCTTAACGTTCCTCCAACAGAGAGCCTCTAATGCTAGGCAGTCGCCCATGAGCCCACAGCTTGACGGCACCTTCACACTGTCTCCATGCTGCTGTTGGTCTCCCACTGGAACTCTCGTGCTGCAACCTCTCAGCAGAACTTTCCAGGCTCCTCTCCCTGTTTATTGTCCCAGTGGTGTACATTGCTGCAATCCAGCAGCCAAACTTCTCTCTTCATAGAGAGCTGTACTGCCAGCTACCTCAAGCAACACTGGAGTGTGCCGTGAGTAACAGCAGAAGACCCTGCAAACCCCAGGCCCTATTCATGCAGTTGTTACCTTCATTTAAATGCTGAGGCAGCTGGGCATGGTAGTGCACACCTGAGATCCCACACTCAAGAGGCTGAGGCAGGAGGGTTGCCATGAGTTCAAGGCCAGCCTGGGCTCCATAGGGAGAACCTGTTTCTAAAAAAAATAAATAATGAAGAAAATAAGACAAGAGAGTTAGTGATAATAGCTAGGAGGCATCCGGGCACAGCAGTGCATGCCTGTAATCCCAGGACTTGGGAGGCTGAGGCAGGAGGGTCACTACGAGTTCAAGCCCAGCCTGGACTACACAGCAAGACCCAGTTGTTCCTTTGAGCCTTGCTCCTAATTTTCAAAAGAAGGTAATTAATCTTTATCAATGTGTTTATACATTCCATTTCCCTCCCTTATACTTTTGAACATAAGCTGTTCTTTTTATACGTGTCCCTTAACCCAAAAGAGCGATTTTTTTTCCTCTTTCCTTTAAAAAAAATTGGTTAGGTCAGTAAATTTTATACAACTGATTAACAGATTTAGTCGGAGTAACTGTGGAGAATCTGAGGACCCTGACATGTGTAGGTGAGCACCAGCCACCCCCTTCATCTAGGACTGCACAGGAGAGGCTTGGCCCGCCATTTCCCCTAGGTCTGATTTTTGTAGAAAATGTATAGATTTCCGGTTCTTCTTCCTTATCCTTGGACTTGGAAAAAATTCAACT